ATAAATAAATAAAACAGTTATTACATTATTATAATTATATATATTGTTATATTGTTATTATTATATATTTTGGTTGGTATTTATATATATATATATATATATATATATATATATAATTCAGGGAGGTTAATAATTCTGACTTCAACTGTATATATACTGTATATTATTTTTCAAATATTTGATGTTTAATAGAGCAAGGATATTTTTCTATAATATTTTTTCTTATGATTTATTTTAGTTTGGCAGGCATGAAAGCAGTTTTTCATTTTTAAAAGTAGTTTTTAAGGTTTATATTATTAGCCCCCTTAAGAATAATTGTTTTCAATTGGCTATAGAACAAACCACTGTTGTCCAGTGACTTGCCTAATAAACCTAGTTAACCTACTTAATTGCACTTTAAGCTGAATACTATACTACTATTGTTATAAATATTTTTTCTTTAATATGTATCGTGAAACCACAGTATTTACTAGGAAAATACTAGTTTCTTGGAAAATAACTTGTATAATATGATGTACTTTCATCATTCATTCATTCATTTTCCTTCAGCTTAGTCCCTTTATTCGCGACAGGGTCGCCACATCGGAATGAACTACCAACTTATTCAGCATATGTTTCACACAGCAGATGCTCTTCCAGCTGCAACCCAGTACAGGGAAACACTCATACACTCTCATTCACACACATACACAATGCGGCCAATTTAATTTATCCAATTCACCTATAGCGCATGTCTGAGAAAACCCACAGGGTGAACATTCAAACTCCACACAGAAATGCCAACTGACCCAGCCGGGATAAAAACCTGTTACCTTCTTGCTTTGAGGCGACCTGAGCCACCGTGCTGCCCCTGTACTTTCATCATTGCAAAGATAAAAGAAACCAGTTATTAGAAATCAGTTATTGAAACTATTTTATGAAGAAAAAAAGGAGACAGATTTTAAAGGTAATAATTTAGCATTCAGCTTTATGTTATATTAATTAAGTCTATGTTTCCAGAGAGGTGGACATAATAGAGTGGACGTCGAGTGTTTTCAGTTTTATCTTGCTCTTCTTACTGATACAAAACATCTTACAGATACAAAACAGCGAAGTGTAAACGATCTGGAATAATGCGTTTGCTCCTTATTTAGTGGGAGAGTTTTATTTTAATATTCTGACCCTTGTTCGGCATAACCGAGAAAACACTCTAACAGGCCAATTACTGCTGCTGGCCCAAAGTCAAACACACCGCTATCGCTGGTTTTCTGTAAAATTGCTTTCCTGATTGCAAGAACATGAAATGCAATGTTCAGGAGCGATTCGGGGCATTGGTATTTTAGAGAAGGAAAGAGGAAACTGATTCATTATCGTTTCAGATAAACAAGCAGAGCTCAGCGTTGAGAGCTGCAGGGAAATGAACTCAGAGACGGGGAAGTTTTTGTCAAATAGCCAAAAGTGAATGTTGAGTCCCGTCCTGCCTGTGAATGACTGATGTGTCTGATTATTATGTTAGACGAACAGAGACCCTAGAGAGAAATGCACAGGCTTACCACTGTAAAATGGATATTAAGAGATAGTTCTCTCGTAATTGATAATTATGTCTATATTTACTTACCCTCATGCTGTACCGAAGTCTCTTTCAGCTCCTTTTGAAAAGCTGAT